CATGGCCAGAGTAGGAGAGATATGCTGGTATTTACAAAATGATTGCTGTCATTGGTCAAAACCCTGTAAAAAATTTCTATGAGTGGAACTAATATTGTGCAAGTAGCTACACTATGAGATGCTTATTGTTCAACTTCTTATGCAGATGTTGTCAAATACCACAGGTAAGTGTGTGCAATGTCAGCTGTCAATGTACAAATCCCCAACACTATTAAAATACTATTAAAATAATAACCCAACTCTCATTCAATAAATTGCAGAAACAGAAGTTTCAAGACAGGTTGACATCACATTCATTAACAATCTTACTTTCATGTTAAGAGAGTATCCGTCATAATTAGACATTGGATATTCATATTCATCTCCCAGTGGAATATTAGCATGCCAGAACTGGCCAGTCCACTTACAGGTCACTGTGTGGCGTGTGCAGCCATCATTACAACACACCAATTGTATAAGTAGGCTGGCCAGCACTTATGTATCTCCCTGCACAGCCAGCCACTCCAGTGGAGGAGGCAGGATGAAAAGTCTCTCTGCTCAGCTGCTGAGTGGTTGGCTGTGAAGGAGGTGGGGAAGCACCAGCTGGGCTTACTTCTGCAATTGACACATTGTGAACAACGATGGCTGTGTGAGTTGTGTGGCAAGTGATAAGAGGACCGGCCAGTTCTGGGGAGAGGGTCCAAACAGGGCCAATACAGTGGCGCCTCGCTTAGCGATGTTAATTCGTTCCAAAAAAATCGCTGCTAAGGGATTTCATCACTAAGCGAAACGCGGTTCCCCAATTGAAATGCACTGAAACCTATTCAATGCATCTCAATGGGGGGGGGGGATACAACAACAAATTGAAAAAGAGTCAGAACAAAGTCAAATTTGGTTAACAAAGGGTTTATTAACTGCACTTTATGATTTCAAACATTTTAAACAGTTAACTTTAACTTTATAAATAACAGAAAAACATTTAAAAAACAGCAAACATGAGGCTGTTTAAACCATCGTTAAGCGAAACAGGGGACCCAAAATTTATTCGCTACGCGAAGCATGGTCCCAACCATCGCTAAGCGAAAATCGCCCATTGAGACCATCGCTAAACAAAGCACAAAAACGCTCAGAAAAAGTCGTCGCTAAGCGATTTCATCACTAAACGGAGTGCCCGTTAAGTGAGGCACCACTGTATTTATATTCGCCTCCCCTAGGAGATGAATATGACTATCCCATGTCTAATCAGATTCTTGTATGTGTACCTGCAAATCAAAATAGGTTCTTTCCACTGAAATAGATTGAACCATATTCATGAAACATATGCACATACAGGGAATTAGAACTAATTATGAGATATATATCCATCATGAAGAACCAAGAACAGGCTTATAGGGAAGAACATCCACCACAGCTGTCAAACCCAACTGTGAAATAAAGGGGAAACACTGCTGAAACTATTTTCCCATTCTACATTTAAATTTAAACTCCTACAATAGGCCCCAATCATCAGTGTAAAGCCTAAATGTTAGGAGGAGGTAATACAACATCCTGAAGACAACATACAGCCATTAAATCTTCTTTTATTCTCCTTGCTGCTTTGCTCTGTGTGACCACTACCAATATTATACCACTGAAAAATGAACATCACTGCTACCACTTCAAATCAAAATGCCAACATTAACAAAAGTGGCAAAGATGCACCTCCACCCAATCAAAGTCTAATTCCTGTTGTTGTTGCACAACAGCAACCTCATACCGCATTTATTTATTTCTATCAGAGCATTGCCGTGTACAGAATTTATTAACACTTACCTATAAGACATTAAAAATCTTTTAAAAAAATTGTTTAAAGGGTATGTATAAAATTCAAAAAAATACGAGCCTATAAGACATTAAAAATCTTTTAAAAAATTGTTTAAAGGGTGTGTATAAAATTCAAAAAAAATATGAGTACACTTCTCCCTTAAATTGCACAGATCTGAGCAGCACACTTTTGGTTACGCACATATTATTTTCAATAAATAAGTATTCAATAAATACTGTCTCTCTAGCTACCCAGAACCGGGGACATGAGTTCAACACTGAAGGCTTCAATGTGATCTACTTATCCCCAAACACAACATCTGTAATTCAGCTTCTAGATTAGGGGAATCACAAGGACCTATAAGGCTCATTACACATGGTATTGTATGGAAAGGATTATCAATGCTAAAGAAGAGAACCCTGGTAGAGATAACTGGTCTCTCTCTGTGTGTGTTAACTGTTTATGCTATGTAGTTAAGTATTTGCAGACATAACAGTTATACATAGATTTTAGACTACATGTGGGTTCGGCACCCCTAACCCCAGCATTGTTGGAGAAATGTAGTTTCAATTCACAACAACAATGCCCGACATAATAACTATATTTAAAATGTTTTAGAAAAATGGAAAAATAGATAGCATTTTCTTTTATTTCTGGACTTAGAGACAAGTTCTTATTATGTTCATAAACTTTCTTCTCAAGTATGTCCAGAAACAGAGGTTTTAAATCTTCAAGAAAACTTGGTGAGGTTTTTAATGGTTTATGAAGAATCATGGCTTATCAGAATTCCAAGAAACTCAAAATTCATGACATTCTCAAGTAAATTGGAGTATAACTTGGTCAACATGTAACAGTTCTGTAACACAACACTGTGAACACTCTAATGCATGTTTTGTGTCAAGCATCTGACTTAGTCAAGTAATTTTAAATGATCCACCTGTATGCTTCATAGAACATACTGAAAGACTTTTTGGCGGGAAAGGGCAAGAGCTTAAGTGACTTCTAGGATCAGCTTTCTGTAATAATAAGCAGAACAATTTGTGTTTCAGATTGAGATAAGGAACTTTTAAACTGATTAAATGAAATTTAAGAGAAGTCAGTTTCTAACAGGTTATTGATTTATCTGCTCCACAGACCACACAGTCTTCAAGACAAATAAACAATTGTTTTCCTGGAAAAAAATTATTATATAGATGTTTTCAGTATTAAGCTCAAACACTGGTAGGTAAACATATATACTTAAATATAAACTAGAGATAATAGATGTCAATGAATTGAGGTAACTACCAGTACAAAGCAAACAAATATTTTAAAGGCTAAATAAAATTATCTTACCTCAATAGCTCTTTTGATATATGGTATCTGAGTGCCACTGTCCAGATCTTCATTTATAATCAGCCTTCTTGCCCACTGTCCTGCTCTGACAACACCACTACCATGAATTAAAACCATCAGTTTGTCAGGATTTGTCATTGCATCCTCACTCATAAAGATAAAACTCCTGGGTTCACTCTCCACAGCATCTACCTAAAATTAAAACAAACCAAGCATTTATTACAGGTACATTTTACAGATTGCATGAATAAACCCATAATGCAATGCTTATTATCAGTAATTCAATCAGTTTCTACCAAAATGCTCAACAATCAACTGAAAATTTAATGCAATGCCCCTAACTCAGTTTTATAAAATTTAGAATATACTGTACATGGCATTCGCTGTTGACAGAATGGCAACTGATTCACAAAGTTGTAAACCCTTCATTTTCACATCGTCATTACCACCAGGTATTTCTCCCCACACTCTTTATCTATCACATTTGTATCCTGTTCCTCCTCCAAAGAGCTCAGAGTGGTATTTTTAATCTCACAAGATTCTGAGGAAGGTTAGACTGTGAAAATATGACTTGCTCTAGGCCACACACAGTGCACTTCATAGTTGAACAGAGGCTTCAAACTAAAAGCTATTTTGTGCTCAGTGGTGTCCAGCTATACCAAACATCTAGCAATTAAATTCAAAATGCCAAAGAGCAGTCACAAAAACAGTTCTGCAGAACTTAACTGCTTCAAATACACTGGCTGGAATCCTGTTGGCAGAAGTGTGCTATCTTGCAGTAATTTATTTTCAGATATTAAAGGCTTCCTTTCAACCCGAGGCTTCTCCAGACCAAAAGTGTCCCTAGGGAGCCTTGGAACCTAATTAATGCCCATGGTTGATTACATAATTAGCCTTTGCACCTCTGGCATTACTCAAAAAGATTTTAGCCAATACATGAATTATATGACCAAGCTGGCAGGCCACTTACTTATTTGCCCTGGCCATTATCAGCAACAATCCATCTATAGTCACATACCTGCATCATACAATAAAGTAGCCACATCAACCCATTTTCACATGGTACAGGACTGTGTGTTTCAGAAATCAGCCTCAATGGACAACTGCAACAATACTTATGACTCTAGTGAATTACCTTAACTTAGATAATTGTACTTGCTTGATCTTGTCTTTGTAGTCCAGGAGCAGGTAAGCTAGTCCTCACTACAGTTCCTATAAGCCCCATGCAATATGGAAAATGGCAAAGATGTATGGGATAAATTGGAGTCCAAACAACCTTCAGGCTATCAGGTTGCTTATGGCAGCTATAACCTTTGCTGTCCTTGATTATGATGTATTGAACTATAACATCTAATGAGAAATTATGCAATGGCTCCACTTCTTGCTGATAAGAATGCTAAAAGCAGTGATGGGTCATCCCATTCCAAGACCAGTTCCATCTTATCTTCCCTCCTTTGACATATCTAGGCATAGCTGCCTAGTTCCAGCTCAGATTGTTCTAAGTTGGTCTACTATGCAATTCCCCCTTGAAGACAGTCAAGAAACTTTAGTTGTGCAATGGCTGCTGTCTGGACACTGGAATTGTGCTTGGCTTTGGTACTGGAATGGACCAAGGCCAATAGGTTCAAGTTGAACCCAGACAAGATGGAGATCACCCTCCAGGGAGGCTCTGACAGGGGGTATTCTCCCCAGACTGAATGGTGTAAACCTCTAGTTTATGGATCAAGTTCAGAACCTGGGCATTCTCCTGGACCCAGCTCTCTTAGGACTCCCTGACTGCAGCCGTGTCCACATCCACCTTTAATCAGCTGAGGCATATCACCCAGCTCTACCTCTACCTAGACAAGGGGTCCCTCAAGATCTATTACTATAATGCTTTCTATGTGGGGCTTCCCTTGAGATTGATCCAAAGACTACAGCAGTTTAGAATGTGGCCACCAGGCTGGTGACAGGTATGAGCAAATTCAATGACTCCACAGTCCTGGCTCGCCTGCACTGGCTACCTGTTGCCTTCTGGATCAAGTTCAAAGTGTTGGTGCTAAAGCACTTATGAAATAATTAAAAGAGTTTGGAGAAACGGCGGGTCTGAAAATAAACCATAGAAAGACAAAAATGTATCTTAAAACATGCAATGTAAAGAAATAGAAGACCTCTTGACTCTTACAAATTTTCAAGAGGGACAGAAAGTAAAATATCTTGGAATAAATTTTACAAAAAACCCCAAGTACCTTAATGAAAGATAATTATCTGAAATTGATGGAAGAAATAAAGAAAGATTTGACTAAATGGGGAAATCTACAATTAACAATAATGGGCAGAACTGCAACAATCAAAATGAATATTTTACCAAAGCTGATTTTCTCATTTCAAAACATTCCAGTGGTTTTGAAACAATCAATATTTAAAGAACTTGATCAGATTATATCTAAGTTTGTTTGGCAAGGAAAGAAACCAAATATAAAATTAAAGTCACTTCAGGACAGGAAACAGAGAGGAGGATTGGGTCTTCCAAATTGGCTGTTATACTATAGGGCTGCCTCATGAACGTGGATCAAAGATTGGATTTTATTGGAAAATCAAAGACTGTTAAAATTAGGTCATGATTTGAAATGGGGGTGGCATGCCTTTCTTTGGTACGGTAGAGTGGATGATTTTAAACAATTTAATAACCATATTTTGAGAAAATCTTTATTATGGTCTTGGACTAAAATTCAAAGACAGATGTATGTCAAAATACCATGTTGAGTAATGCCAGTGGAGGCATTTTCTCTTCCAAACCTGAAAGAAAACAAGAAAATCTTAAGGTATAGAAAAGCACTAAAACCAGATGGGACATTAAAAAACAAAGATGAACTAATGACACAGGGGTCTGATATAAATTGGTGGTCACATTTTCAGTTGATTTCAAGATATGGTAAAGATAAGCAGCAAGGTTTTTATTTAGACAATAACCCCTTTGACAGAGTTCTTCTGGATCCAAAGACAAGCATATTAAAGCATTATATAATTTTTTTACTAGATTTTGATACCCAGGAGGAAATGGTTAAAGAATGTATGATAAGGTGGGCACAGAATATTGGGCACAATATAAGTTTGGATCAGTGGGAACAAATATGGAAAAACAATATAAAACTTACTAAGTAAGTATTTTAAAGAAAAAATATATAAAATGTTTTATAGATGGTATACAACTCCCACAAAACTAGCCAAAGTGGATGTTAGAATTTCAAATCTCTGTTGGGGATGTAAACAAAAAGAAGGTTCTTTTTATCATATGTGGTGGTCATGTGGGACAGCTCAAAATAATGGGAAAGGGTTGAAATGCTTTTGCATGAGGTTTTAGAGATTCCGATAACTGTAACCCTTGAATTTTTTGTTCTAAATATAATCCCGGATTCAATAGACCTAATGGAAAAATATTTAATTATCCATATCCTGACACCTGCAAGAATTCTTTTTCCTAAACACTGGAAAGACCCGGAGAAGCCATCTCAAGATTAGTTAATAGCAAAAATCCTGGATATGGCAAAGATAGATAAACTATCAGAATGGCTAGAACCATGAAGATTGTTGGCATAAATTTTATGATTGGCTTAGAAATAGAATGTAAATTAATATTTGATAATTGAAAACCTAAGATCAATTTAGAATTAGAATATGTATTATAAATTAGTTACACCAGAAACTTATGTATCTTTGAAATGTAATAGATAAGAATGAATATTGTTCATGTTGATTTGCAACCCTCGTTTAATCCCATGTCCCCTGTCCCCATCCCTAACTTTAACCCCTAAAATAAAACTTTTTTATAAAGTTCAAAGTGTTGGTGCTCAGCCCTTCACAGTCTGAGACTCCACTACTTCCCAGTGCATCTTTTCCCAAGGTCATCCTCCCACATCACCATATCCTCCCAGACTATGCTCCTCTGGATGGCCACTTTGAAGTAACCCAGAAAATCTTCAACAAGTCTGGTCTTCTCAGCTGTGGCACCATCTTTCTGGAATCGGCTCCCCATCAAGCTGCCCCCCACCCCATTTTTAAGAGGTTGTTGAAGATACTTCTTTTCAAGAGGCCTTCCAAGACAACCTCACTTGAATATTTGTCTCTTGCCCCGCTGACTTTGGAAAGGCTGCACTGTAGCAGCTTAATTGTCTTATTTTGCCTATTTCTCTATGTCATGTTTATTACAGCATGTAATAAACAGTCATGTTTATTATTTTCTGTTGTTATCCCCTGTTTGGCTTTACATGTAAACCAGCCAGAATAGTGCTTTGCACTAATGGGGCAGCATATAAATTTTCATAATCTTTTTAAGGAGTTGGCTTTAACTTTACAAGTCCAGGGTCTGAGTGCTTTCAAAAGCTCCTCCTATATGATCATAAGTGGAAATTTTATTTTATGACACAGATTATATTTCATGTTCCTTGAATTACAGATGGGAAGTGTACACAAGAGAAACAGTCTTTTCAATTGTAGGCTTGCCTATGATAGTATTCTTCACCTACTACAGCACGTCTTTGCATACACTAAATACTATTTTATTCTGTAGAGCATAATCCTAGCTTCACATCTTTCTGGTCATATTGCTTTGCTATTGTTCCATTGAAAAAGCCAGAGAGTTCCAAAAAAAAATCTACTTCTGCTTCATTGACTACGTAAAAGCCTTTGACTGTGTACACCACAACAAACTATGGCAAGTTCTTTAAAAAATGGGAGTGTCTGACCATCTTATCTATCTCCTCAGTAATCTGTATGTGGGACAGGAAGCAACAGTTAGAACTGGATATGGAATAACTGATTGGTTCAAAATTGGGAAAGGAGTACAACAAGGCTGTATATTGTCTCCCTGCTTATTTAACTTATATGCAGAATACATCATGCAAAAGGCAGGACTGGAGGAATCCCAAGCCGGAATTAAGATTGCCGAAAGAAACATCAACAACCTCAGATATGCAGATGATACCAGTCTGATGGCAGAAAGTGAGGAGGAATTAAAGAACCTCGTAATGAGGGTGCAAGAGGAGAGTGCAAAAAATGGTCTGAAGCTCAACATCAAAAAAACACCAAGGGGGAGATATGGAGGCTCCATGATTACTGCAGATGGTGACAGCAGCCACGAAATTAAAAGACCCCTGCTTCTTGGGAGGAAAGCGATGACAAACCTAGACAGCATCTTTAAAAAGACAGGTTAC